AAGATAACCTTTTCTCACTTTATCTCTCTCTCTCTCTCTCTTTCTCACTCTCTCTTACACTTCCTCTTCCACAAGCAGTACGCACAGTGTATTCCAAGATAACGTTCTCTCTCGCTCTCTCTCACTCTCTTCCTCTTCCACAAACTGTACGCCCAGTGTTATCCAAGATAACATTCTCTCACTTTCTCTCCCTCTCTCTCACTCTCTTTCTCTTCCACAAGCAGTACGCCCAGTGTTATCCAAGATAACGTTATCTCTCTCTCGCTCTCTCTCTCTTCCTCTTCCGCAAGCAGAACGCCCAGTGTAATCCAAGATAACGTAAGCGCAGAGCACACTGAAGCGGATGGGACACACCCGAAATACATGGATTGGGAAATTTTCCTCTAGGAACAAAGGAAGAGATGAACTCGTATTCAACTGCGGGCCATCACGTACCTATCTATTTCAAGCGTTCAATTTTCACGTACCTAACTATTTTAAGCATTCAATTTTCACGTACCTAACTATTTTGAGCGTTCAATTTTCACGTACCTATATATTTTAAGCGTTCAATTTTCACGTACCTATCTAATTTAAGCGTTTAATTATGATTTTGATTTGACAACGTACCCCATCTATTGTTAAAACGTTTAATTTTATTTTAATCTGATCACGTGCCTATCTATTTTAAGCGTTTAATATTAATCTGCTAATGTGACTTGTACTTCCATCAACCCGTGCCCAGCATCTGGGTTTCGCCCGAGTCGTCGTCCTGGCCATGCGCCGTCTGGTTGTCTTGTGCGTGCTGCTTAGCATCATTATCTGCTGACGCCTCTAACGTACTACTCTGAGCCGTTTCCGGTAATAATTCGGTGTCTGAGTTCTCTGTGGCGGGTGTTTGGTTCGCTTGTGCCTTCTTCTGCAGATTGGCTATTATGTCTTCGAGCTCACTTATCCTGTCCGTAGCTGTGTGTGTGTGTGTGTGTGGGTGGAGGGGGGGGGGGGTGGTATTGTGAGATAGGGTCATCAGTACGGCCCGATGCCAGCGATAGCAATCGAGTACCAATACTATTGCAACCATAAACGATACAGTATTGCCGAAATATCATTGGCATGAGAGTGCGTATGATACTTTCCAGTTCAATCGCGCTACTCAGTGCCAAACGGTTAGTGCTAAGCAAGAAAGATGCTCGCTCGCACACGCACACATACACACTCTCTCTACCTCTATTTATATATATATCTGCCTCTATGCGCCTGCTTCACAAACGCATACACATGAGCAAACTCAGACTTTCACAAAATTTAGTATATCACCGATACAAACCACATAGAAAGGTCAAACACATGCCGAATCGGAAATTTAAGCGCACAAACAAACAAACAAACACATACACACACACTCTCTCTCTTTCACACACACACACACACACACACACACTCGCACACAAACACACATACATATACTCACACTCACACACACATACATACATGCACTCACACACACTCACACACACACTCACTCACACACTCACTCACACACACACACACACACACACACGCATCTACGCACCTTTCTTCAGCACCACCACCTTGCTGACCACCTGCGATGACACATCTCTGAGTGCCGGCACCTTCACCCTTAACTCGTGGAAAGCCGCTCGCAAGTCATCGCGTCGTCTGCGCTCTGATACTTTGTTGGTGTCGCGGCGTTCCTTGACACTTTCAATCAGATCGGCCGAGTGCCCCAGCGCTGCTCCGTTGCCGTCGACGAGCATGTCGTAGTTGGATTTGGTGGCCACAGCCGGTGCGGCGGAGCTTGCCTGTTAGGAAAATAGCGTGGGTTTTTAGTTTGTGTGTGTGTGTTAATGTGTGTGGTAATGTGTGTGGTTATGTGTGTGAGTGTATGGGTTTGTGAATATGCTTATGGGTACATGCGTGAACATAGCCATATATGTGTTTGTGCATGCATGCGCGTAGTAAGTATGCTGGAACAAGAAATCATTATAACATTCGGTGGCGGCGGCGATTGTGGACTGTACTGAACCTTGGTAGTTGGTACATACACATAAACCAAATAGAGGCCATGGTATATACACATAAACCATGGGTAGGTACCTTGGTAGTTGGTACATACACATAAACCAAATAGAGGCCATGGTACTTACACATAAACCATGGGTAGGTACCTTGGTAGTTGGTACATACACATGCATCGAATATAGGCCATGGGTAGGTGTAGTTGGTACATATACATATATCAAATATAGGTCTTGATATATACACATACACCATGGGTAGGATGCAGCGTGGACACCAAAGAAATGAACCGAAAGTTTGTGTATATGTATTTGTGGATAGAGGGTTCGGCAGTGTGCTAACAGACATACATTATACATTCGACTTTGACATAATTCCGCGTAGCATATGCACAGGAACAGAACATATACACAGCCTAACCCCTGAATGTACGCTACAGTGATCACACTATGATATTTCGTTACGAAACTATGATACTTAGTGATCAAACTAGTGAACAAACTATGATACTCAGTTACCAAACTACTGTATTAAATGATCTAACATGATACTTAAATACAAAACTATGATACTAGTGACTTGGCATACTAGTGACTTGGCGAACTCATGAGAATCTCATAATCTGCACTCATGGAAGTTCCATCGTTTAGCCCTGAACAGCCTTCGTTCAAAAAAACAATCGGTAAAGTTCGGGGCCTACTTACCAAGTCCAAAGGGGGTAGCATGGGGCTGATGAGCGTGGACGTCAGGAAGGGCGTTTGCATGTCGAACATTGAGTTGCTAAGCAACCGTTGGTAGGGGGTGCTCGGTTGTGAGGTGGTGGTTTTCTATTGGTAGATGGAGATGATTGGGAAGGACAGATTGAGTGCGCTGACCAGAATGTGTCCGACTGTTGTTGTATGCAAGCCTTTAAATATGGCCAGCATTCTCGAACTGCCCCATGCCTTCTCATTCTGGCTACAACAGACATACATGCACGCTAACACGCAGCTGTAACACTCATGTGAGTGAGTGGTTGTGCACTCTAGTAGAAACCACAAGCAATCGCCAGTGTTGACACGACGCTACAGATCTGAAATCCATTTGAGTGCCAGATGTTGCACACCCGAACCGATTAAGTTCATCTTGAGACTAACGAGAAACTTGACTGTAACACACACCTACCTGCACTTTATATACGTACAGTCGCGGGTAGTAAACTTTGCATTTCAATTACATCACACTCCTACCCATTGATTCGATATATAACCTCCGATCGTAAATTCTGCAAGACCTGTGCATGTCGCTAATAAAACACACCCGGCACGTGCGTGTGCGACATCCACAACTAAACAACCCTATCACGACACAGCCCACATCGGCTCGCAATACAACATAAACTCCCAGGGTATATCGAGCATCAATGTCCAACATGTCGCAAACTAATGTACGACACACATACGTGTATTTTGCGCGGTGCAGGCTTGATGGCCGGGGAGTCTCCCGGGCCCAGTGTGGGGGTGCCGGTGGCTGTGGCGTTACTGCCCGTCGTTTTCTTGCCACTCGAGGGATAGGGCTTCAACGCAATATTGTTAGCGCTTGCTGTCTTGAACAGCCGTGGCTGTACGGTCTTGTTGCCTCGTTTGGCTGGCTGCGTCTTCTCCTGTAGCTGCGTGTTCACCTGCGCCTGTGCTTGTCCCTGTGGCTGGCTTTGGGGTTGTTCCTGTGGTGTGGGGGGGTGTGCCTGCTTCGCCTGTGTCGCTTGCTGTGTGGTTGCCTGTGGTTGTGGCTGTGGCTGTTGGAACTGGCCTATTTGGCTGGGTTGATTGGGCTGGGGCTGTAGCGGCTGTTGTTTGGGCTTGAGCTGCTGCTGTTGCCGTTGGTGCATTGTTTGTTGTGGAGGCTGTGAGTGGCCTTGTGCTTGTGTGAGAGCGTTTAATGGCAGCAGCTGCTGGTGTTGATTTTGCTGAGCGTAATGCTGTTGTTGTTGTTGCTGTTGTTGGAAATTTTGTGTGTGGAGTGCTGAAGCGCCATCTGCACCCGTCGACTGCTGCGGATGAGTGAACGGTAATAGCAGTGACGGGAACTGTGGCGATACGTAGTTGCTCATGCTGTTGTTGAACAGGTAGTTGTCTTGGATGGGGGTGCTCTGCATGCTGCTCACCCCATTCATATGGTTCATGGACTGGCCTTCCATAAAGCCAAACAGTGAGGTAGGACCCGGAGACTGTGCGGGGATGAACAGATGACAGAGGGCCAGACGAGATGAGTTAATGGCCTGGCCAATGATGGCTGAGGGTATTGGGTCACGTGATTGTATTTAGAGTACAATACGTGAGCTGTACCAGAGTTAGAGGCGAGAGGAGGGGTGTGGATGGACAGACCCCGGGGTGTATATACAAGTTTACCTACACTAAAAACCCGTATCATCCGAAGCACACACGTTTGCAACTGTATTCAACCCACATACACGGACGCATGCACACACATCCATCTGGCAAATGCACACACATATTATACGCATCTCCGACGACGCCATACCACATTCAACCGATCCCTTGAGGTGGCAGGGGAGGTGCCTCCGCTGTGCCGATGACTCATGTTGTTGTGTGTGTTGTTGTGGGTTGCCTGTCCATTGTACACATTCAGATTCGAGTCGGAGCCGTCGAAAAGTGAATCTGATGTGATAAAACAACAACAACGCTAGAATGAGACCCTGAACAGAATATTAGGCATTCGCAAAGCGATCACCACGAGGCTGTAAGTCAAAGTCTTGAGGAGATGAGCGATGAATATCAAGTGCCGCCGTTATCTACCAAGACGTTGCACAAGTGCGTTGGGTTGTTGGATAGGTGGGTTATTGGGTTGTTGGGTTTCTTCCTCTACCCCCTCGACTATGAAGTGCCGGTTGCACTGCGTAGCTGCATGTGAAAATCGATTGTTACGCACAGAGTGACCGCAGCGCCACAACAGATGCCCTAAACGAAGTTTACTGAAATTCAGCATCATGGCAGATAGTTGATACCAATACCTCCCATAGTATGCGCATCACCCCACAACAACAACATCCCTCCAAACCCAATCCATGAGGCCAACTACGAACATACTCTGTGGGAACAGGGTTGATCCGAAGCCCTGGGTGTCCACATTGAACACAGTCTCCCGCTGACTGAATGCATCGAGGTTGTTACCACCCATAGATACGTTAGAAACATTGGACTCCATGGGAGCTAGGTCGGACGTGTTGTTATGTGAGTTTGTGTGACTCAGCTGGTTGTGTATTGCTAACAGCTCTTCCATAGAATCATACCCTCGCTGAGGTGGGGCTGAGTGCGGCTGGTCCGTGCTCTGCGAATTGATACATACGGTGAATGAGTGAGTTGAGGAAATCCTGGTGTGGGATAGTGTAGGTAAGATATATATATATATATATATATGAGTCATGTCCACATTGGGAACTTCGTCAAATGATGTGAATGGGTGAAGCGCATTGGGTAAGCGCATTTATAGACAACCCTGTCGGTTAGTACCATTGAGCAAAGAAAAGTAACCCTGGGAGTTTGATACAATTTGCGCATTCACATAAAATTAGCAGAACCACTAGAAACGATGACAACACACCTGCAAACACTTAAACTAAGATATGTGACCGTACGCTTGTTGAAATAAGTATGTTCTACAACACATGTATGAATGTGTACACTATATACCAGTATTGATCTCAAAAATACATACATGAAAAAAGCCAAGGACAAAATTGGATACCAGAAAATCCAATTGGAAAATATGTTTACGAAAGGATAGTTAGAAAGTTGCGTATGAAAATACACATATAGAACATAGCATATATATATATATATATGTATATATATATATATATATATATATATGCGTGTGTGTGTGTATGTATATATGTATAT